GATATGAACTTTTGAGTTATTACTTAAGACTTAAGAGCACATATTGTGTTGTCTCCGTGTTACAAAAGTATCATATAGAAAATTTGCGTTCATCAAAACCAATTTTCTGTTGTAAGCTTTATTGTACATAAATATAATATAAATTACCAATTATCAAACTTGACTATATTTTAGGTTTTACTCGAGTCTTTTCAAATCATAACTCAATTCATGGGAACACAGAATACTTTCTAAAATTGCTGTGTTTAATTATTGTTTTCTGTTGTAAATAAATAAAAACTATAATAATAACTACCTAATAAATAAATAATTCTTTTTTGTTATTATTAAAGATAACACTCGGCATCTCGGTCGTTGGGAGAAAAAAAACAATTCATATAAAAGTGTTACATAATAATAAAAAGGGTTATATAACAACGAATTACTAGATAATATTATGAGCCTAAACTATAAGATAGTATTATTCTGATTTTTAAATTAGTTTGTCCAATCGTGTCGTCTGGAGCAAACCGAATATGCCTGGTTATGTGGAAGAACTGGTACATGTATGTGTCGTAATGTCGTCGAGTAATTGATTGCGGTTCCTTGCTTCAAGATAATATGCATTAAATTCGGTAAGAATGTGTTTTATTGTGAGTTTGACCCCGCAAGTCTCCTCTCGTGACATAAGGTATAGCCATGGGTTATTCTGGTGTGACCTATTCTTAGCCCGTTGATGATGGTTTCCTTTGTCCTATCAGCCTGATTATTGTTACTAGCCAGTGAAGAATAGTTAATTTTATTTAAATAAAATCAATTAATTACCTAATTCGTGTCATCAAGTTTTTCATATACGTACCTAAATATAAAATAAATATAGTTATCGAAATTATTTTTTTTTTACCCGGTGGTTTAATCGTTTCAATTTTTATTTCTATGTATAAGTCGTAGCAATTTCGTGAAATCGAACTTTTCATAAAAAGCTGTCCATTTCATGAAATGGAAACGTCTTTTTCACACTTGGTAAAACACGAAAATATTTCACGAAGTGCCAAGTGGTCATATTTTTATTAAATAATCATTCTAATAATATAATTTTTTCTCAAAGTGGTCATTCAGTTTGTGAAATAAAACATTTACCATGCAAAATTAATATTTAATGTCATTCAGGATTTTTTACTTAAATAAATTTAAGTTGTATTTATATAAAGATACGTTAAATTATACAGATAATATATTTATAAATATTTAAGTCATATCAAATATACAAAAGAAACACAATTATTTTTCGAAAAATACTTTTTTTTAAAAATACATTTATACAAGTTTAGGTATACTGTATACAGTAATTTGTTTTAATTTGTATATATTTAAAGCATTTTATGCAAGGCGATGATTACGGTCGTGACATTTCATGGTGTATTACCATTCCTACACTCACATCGTTTGGATTGAAATAGACTCTTACACAAGCAACTTAGGAACCCCTAACCTCCTAATACAACTTGAACAATTTCACTAAAATCTATATAGCGACTATAATATCATACACTTGAATACGATATTTGATCATCATCAATATAAGATCCTAGACATTTCAGAAATCCAGGTAGAGATATTATTGAATTATTTAACAATCAATATACCTAACTATTTGCGTGAAACTATGTTGTAAAGTTATACCTCCTGCAGGTCAGGGGTTCGTAAGTTGTACACATAAAAGTGCTTGTAAAACAAAATCATGTGCTTATTTTTGAAGTATCCCATTGGAGTGACCATTTCATGAAATAATTTTTGTATTTCACAAAGTGTGAAAAAGTGGTTTACACTTCATGAAATGGACGACTTTGCATAAAAAAGATCAATTTAACAAAGTGTAGGTTGTGACATAAACATCGCACAACCAAATTAATTATTATAATGACTTAATTTCTTTTTAACCTATTTATCCGATTGTTGTAATTCACCTAAAAAATGCCTATTTAGCCCATATAGGAATCAACATCTCGGATTTGAAGACCTCGATAATCGACATCCTTTTAGGAAACCTTCACGATATGGACACAAATAGTTGTATACTTATAATATTTATATAATCATATTATTTAATTGTGTGTATAAATTAGCAGGACGTTAATGATACATTGAGTGATTATCAAATCATTTTTCAATTTTTTCATTCTTAGAAAACGATAACACCATTTTTTGATTGATAATAACAAATATAACTATATACACTAATTAATTATTATTATATAGTCTCTACCAAAAATGTGAGTATACTTTTACATTTTGTGAGGTGTCGTTATGTGTCAACATTAAATATTCACTGGCCGTTGTACTGCGTCCAAACATATATATAATGATGTTTGATAATACCGATAATTGTTTTTGACGTACAATAATATTCGTTGACCACCATTGATATTACTAAATGACTTTTGACGTATAATTCCCGACCCACTTGTATATTTAGTAACTCATTCGACATAATATTATTACCTACCATCTGTATAGAGTTCAGTGCCTACCATCAACCGTACACGGCGATGGCGGACGGCACAAAAACCTCTATATTTTACAGCAAGTATATATAGTGGCCTGAACACCGATTATTCATTTGAAAGGTATATTACATACGTTACCTAATACAATAATAATACTATACCGTACTATTATATATTTTGTAATATGTGAACATTTAAATTAAATACATTTTTCTGTTTTTAGGTACTGTTAAATAATAATTATTATTACAAAACTGTGGGACCCCAAATTCGTGGGGGCCACTGTGCTCAGCTCCACTCAGCCATCTCCCCGAATTCGACCCTGGATACAGTGTGCCTGAGAAGAGGCGAGGCATTATATTTTTAAACAGCTATATGTAACTTACATGTTATGAGGAACATTATATTAAATGTCCAAGTTAATTTTTTTTTTAAAGATATTGATTGAAAAAAATATCGAAAATGTTTAATGTCTAATCATATTATACCGTAATATATAGAAAATGTTAATTTAAACATTTGGTGAAAAATTCACATCTATAGGTATGGTTATTTGTTTTTGAATTAAAAACTACAAGTACGACAAAATATTAGAAATCGTTATTTTACGCGTGTATATCCAGTTTTGTAAAATTCTGTAAACTTCAAACATTCATAAAAAATTATTGTAGGTTTACGATTAACTTTTGTTTTTAATTCCAGTAACAACAACTTATTGTGAACCTTATATTAAATTTTAATGTGTGATGAGTGATGACTGAGCAAAAATGTTTTTATCGATATTACCTATAAAAAAAATTAAAATAAATTGAAAATGTAAAATATCTATAAATAGCTCAAGATTCAAAATATTTTGAAAATTTAATGCATCTACGAATTTTTTTTTTTGAATTGCAAGAAAATAAAAGTAAATTTTGTCAAAAACTTGTTTTACTTAAGAATTCTAGCTTTTCCTCAATTTTTTTTGTTTTTTCTGGGTATTATAAAAAGTACTGATACATTTTTAATTTTTGACTTTCCAATGTACCTACTATACTTTCTTATAGAAAAGATATTGATGATGCAAATCTCTCAGAATCTTCAATGAATAAAATTGTTTTTTTATAATAAAACGTGTTATCGTTAAAGATACGGCATACGCCTTGAGTTTAAGAAGCTAAATACAAATCAAATTATACAATTTATTATTATTTTATATGCATTGTCTTAACGTCTTTATGACATATTTACAGATGTATAATAATAATTGTACGAAAGAGTAAAAGACACTAAAATAAATTATAAAAACTTTTGATATTATACTGTTTTATATTAGAGGTACCTACACAAATAATAATTAAGTTCTACGCGTTTCTTTTTGAGGATACCTAATTTAACTAGCTACGATAATTTAAAGAACTAAATTTATGTTTTTGTTTACTCACAAATGACCTAAATTACATTATTTAATTATTATCATTATAGTATTGCAGTATACAACTGTGCAAGTTTATTTCTATGATTATTATTATTATTATTATTACAATTATTACAATTCTAGAATAATACTGCCGTTGCCCATTTGAAATATTAAACGAACATCTCGATTTTGAAATTACACGAACGCCATAAATTGTATTTTTTATTTCACTCTACCAGCTATGTCCGAGGTGAGTACCTATATATATAATCAGTATAAATATACATCTCTGTATCTACATAGAGCACCTACATTATAATGTTCTAGAAAAATGTTTTATTGGCGTTTTAACGATACCCGGACAGTCGGACCGTATTATAACGATGCACATCAAATATAAATAATATGGTTATAATTTCACAAGTATATAAGTGCATAACTATACAACGGCACAACGCACCGAATATATGGACCAACTCGTTGAACACAGTGTTTGTCAATTGGTGGAATTGAATTTCAAGTAAATCGACACCGTCGGAGCAGCTATATGTTATAAAGGCGTATAATATGTTAATATTATTAAAATTTCGAAATAATCACTACAGCTCAAAATAATATACGATGTGCAAGTACAAATAACGATAATGTACTCGGTGTGCAAAAAACTAGGGGCGAATTCGCCACAATCGTGATACTTTGTATATTATAATAATTAATATATGTACGTCAAGAAAAAAAAAATATGCAAAGAGTCGTATTATTATAACATACATCGTGCGTACATTACGAAGAAAAAAATTAATTAAATTCGTCATATACATATATATATATATTACACTGTATTATAGTATAATATATATTGTAATGCCTATATACGATGTACCAGCGTTCGATTGTACTTTGTTTTTTTTTTTTTAATTATTACTATTATTATACTCTCTTATATATTATAATAAAGACGATTTACATAATATCAATTATAAACGTCGTCGTATACCCGAACGACCGTCGACGTAATAATAATTATTGGTTTTAATTACGCACAATATTCGTTTGCGTGAACGTTATCGATAATGTAATATTATTATGATTGTAATATGGTCGGCGAGCGGACGTCATCGAGGAAAACCATCACGCGACACACGTTCCTCGGAATTCATACGGTGCGCATTTACTCCGGCAAAAACGCTCGCGCACGCGCGGCACGGTGTCACACGTAGCACCACCGGTGAACTTGGGGCCGCCACGCGCCGGATTGTCGCGGCCGAATGAGACATGGGCCGGACACGACGCAATCCGTGTCGTGCGTGATACCGTCGACGCGTTACCAACATTTTATTACCAATGTTAACAGGAACGCGGTTGCTGTGTTGACCAGGTCTTACCGATATCATTATTACTGCGGCGAGCTATAGCGGGTTCACTGCAGTCCATCATCAGCCGCGTCGTTTGGGGGGTGACCGCAGGCCGTGTGAATTTGGACGTGTAAAAAACGCCTTCTTTCAAATCGAATCAAATCAAATCGCCGACATGTTTTAATACTAATACGAGTCAGTGTTGAGTGTTTTCTGTTTTTTTTTTTTAATGCGTTTTTGCTGTGGTCCATCAATTATCCGACTATACCCGCAAAGAGAAAATTATTGATAACAGTTGTATAGTCAGTGCGTAATAACAAGTGATATTTAGCTACATTTAGCTATATTTAGTAATATTTTGCTATAAAGAATAATGGTACGATAATTACCCATGGCACAAGGTTTTTGTTTGTATATTGACTACAACTGTACAGAAAACTAACTGAAAGGTCCTAATCACATTAAATCGTGATAGAAAGTAATCACAACAATTTATAATTTGTCATCAATAAATAAAATCTAAAAAAGTCATTCCAGTAGTTGTTAGCATTTTGAATATATCGCCTACTTAGCTTACAACTACAGGTAGGTAGGTTTATATATAATAAATCATAACTATACGTCTATATCGAGTATATTGTGGCTTGGTAATGATTTGCCTGCTATAAAATTTCGCCACCAACAATATACTACAAAACTGAAAAGACACGCTTGGTTCACACTACATCGTGTCATGTTTCACGTATTTAATACATAGGTAATAAAATGTTGGTAACATGTTACCTACAAATTAAACATATTATTCAACTGTAGACTATACAAAGTACACAACCAGGTTTGATTGTTTTTTTTCTGTTGTGCACAAAATACGACGTATTTTCGACAAACGTCGCACACTGTATGATCGTCTTCGCCGGCCACAACACTAAAATATCATTAATATTATAATATTATGTTACAATAATACACACACACACACAGACACACGCACACGAGAATTTCCGACACACAAACAGTTCAACAGTAGCGAAAAACAAAACAATTCACGGTCTTAGCTCGAGCGGTGAGGACGTGAGGTCATTTCAATACGGTATATAGCATTGTATAGGTATATTACATGTGTTTCAATGCAAATAAAACCGAGTCAAACGAGGTTGGTTAAAATCGATAACACAATATAACACCATACAATGATTATAATTTATACTATATTATATGCGTCGTCGTCGCTCGCGATGGATACAACACTTAATAACATTTCCACGCGTGTAAATAAAATATAATAATATACGTTCATAAACAAGGCCCGAGACGAGTCGTATGTGACGTGTGATGATGTGTTTTACAGCCCGAGAGACTCGTTTTATTAATTATTATTTGACTATACCTACAACAGCGCACTCGTGTACCACGACGGTCCACGACCATATACGTATAATATGGTAGAATACAATATAAAGGTACACGGAACGTCTTCCGAGTTTAAATCTGGGTTCTCACTACGGTGAGTAAGTACACTACATGTATTACAGTGTAGAGTGGAATATATTCAACTTGGAGGTGACGTGTTACCAACATTTTGTTACCTATGTAACACGAGACACTACACGATGGGGTTTGAACCCAGCCTTACATTTTTACTGCGAGTTGGTGCGGAGTTGGTGAGTCAAAGTATAGGTATACCTAACTTTGTAGCCTGCAGGGCGTCCGCAACAAGAAACCCGAAATAGTAAAATATGCTAAACAGGCGTTGGTATTGTGTGAATAAGAAGCCATCCATTATTCGCTACTCATTATAGTTACCGAGAAGTTAGCTACAGTTTTTTTTTTTTTTCAAAAACATTATGGAACGAAAAACTGCAGAACATCAAACTAAAATGAAATTATGACTTAGATGCGCAGCTCAATACTTTGTAACATAAACAGGGTTTAAAAAACCCAACCCGGTTGGGTTTAAATGGGTTTTAATGGGTTTTAATGGGTTTTAAAAATGTTCAAATGAATGCTGTTTCCTGACACTTTTTTATTAGGGAAGTTCCCTACAAACCTAACCTATAAAACATAAATGTACCATTTTAAATTGTTTTGAACAAGATATACATAATCGTGGTTTTGACAAGTGTAAATATTATAATAATATAATAATGTATTATTATATAAATTCCCATCTTCATTCTACGGTTGGTCACTCTTGACTGTCGAAGTAAAATTAATTTATGAGCTTATAATTAATTAAGAAATGTAAAATTATAATATTTAATGTTTTTGCTTACATTTTTATTGTTACTAAAAAGTAATAAAAAATAAATATGCAGTTTGAAGTTTGTTATTTTTTCGTTTGTTGGTTTTTTTTACTGGGTTTTTTTCTAGGTTTTTTACTGGGTTTTTTTGCTGGGCCCAACCCATTAAAACCCGGTGGGTTTTAATGGGTTGGGTCCAGTACTTCAAACCCTGATACATAAATCCAAGAATCTACATCAATATCTTCCTCCAAAACAAACTTAAATCACAAACAATAATATTGTATGGGATATGGATCCCTATTCCCCACACTTGTATTGAACGTTGAGAAATGTAGTGCTATAGATGTATATCACGTAAGATATAATAAACAAGGTATCCAATGATAAACATACATTCAATAACCCATTAACCCATTGACTCAAACAATTGATATTCAAATATAGCATTGCTATGCCCTAAAAATGACTACTTACAATGTTACTTATAGCAACATAATAAATCACTCAAAGAAAAGAAATCACACCACCAATTCTTTAGCTATATCTGATGAAGAAAAAGCTGCGCTTTTTAGTAATAATCACATTGCAGATATATCCCTCAGCTTCATAACTACATTAATCCATCCCAAAGAATCAGAAACGATATGCAAATATACAACTTTCTAATTAGCCCCCTTCCAATGTCACTAGGTGCTAATAAAGTCGATTACTCGGGCAGAAATTAAAAACCAAATATATTAACTTACTATACCAACCAAAAAAATGCACTGGATAAAATGTAATATCCAGTAACATTTTGAAACAAGTGTCCCGCAAATCCATTCTATTTCGATTTTTAATTTACAACACAATGCTAAGATTATCATTTATTATATTATGTTCCTGGAATACGGCAATACCTATGGAAGTTTTCTATCATAATAATGATACCCAAACGTCTCACGTCGTGTGAGTCCGACGCGACTCTCATTGCCACGAATGACGAATACTGTTCCGGCCGACTATATTAGGTACGATGATTTATAAATTTTAAATCGTGAATATGACATCAATATACGCATCATAGGCACGTTTCAAGCCACCAATACGAGTATACGAACATATTATTATAAATACAATACATAGGTACTATATTTTGTACAAATAACTAAAATGATAATCAGTGCTAAATTTCATTGGTGCCCCGGGGCAATAATATTTGGCACCCCTATTAAACATACATAATTATTTAAACATTAGCCGCCCTTTAAAATGTTACAACTTTTTCCAACCTAGGGCACTTTCCCCATTTGCCCCCCCCCCTTTGGCACGGCTCTAATGATAATGCATAGGCCCACAGATACCAGAGTATGATCTCTATATAATAATATAGCTTCCGCTTCTACAGTATTACAGAGATGATATTGTGTATCAGTGGCGTATATAGGGGGGAGCCCCCCTAGGCCAGAGCCCATAGTGAAATTGCAGGTTCAATTAAAACATTTCATGTACATCTACAGTCTACACTGTTTACAGTTTTTCACCATTATTAATTTAGTCGCTTATCAAAATTGTTTTTGAGGAATCAACAAGGAAATGATTGTCAGGACTTGATTTCATGACTTTGATGTTAAATTCACAGTTAGATAACATTAAAATATATATATAATATATTATGTGCAATTGTCAATATTTTTTTAAAAAATAATTTAAAAATAAATTTAACATAATTATAAAATTAAAGTGAGGAATTTTTATTTGTATTGTATAATATGTCATAATTATAACCACTCAGCTCCCTGAAATATGTATAGTTATGTTAGTCGAGCTAGGCTTGAATAGTGATAAATTGCCAAAATTGGCACATAGTGAAAATAATTTGTATATACACCACTGATGTGTATTAAGATTTAAGATCAATAATATCAGCCAAATTATTCCGGTGATCGAGCATAATATAATACTCATCAGCCCGTAGTATACTTATATACATAATACATCAATAATAATAATAATAATCGGTCGTACCTACATTGTACATTTTAATATATTCCATATAGTGTGGTGTGTGACTGTATACGAGGTCGTGGTGCTACGGTAAAACTCTGGTAAGTGATAAAAACGCATGTCGGTCGCGTTTCGCACTCACACACATAGTATGTATACAAACAAGCTGAAAAATAAAATACTGAAAAAAATTGTAGATAAACAATAACGATATTGAGTTTGAACTTTAAAGGACCCGCGATTCACGATAAATTTTATTGTATCAATATAATATTATTGACCATGTATTGAACGAACCAAAACCTTATGGAAAAAGTTCCATGTAAAACACAACACATCAGAAGGCGTATGGAACTACACAACAACAGAAAAAGAGTCTTACGACACGACTGTCACAGTACCTACGTATCCTGTAATTCTCCTAAAACTCTCATGACGACGAAAAAACACTTGCAAACAAAATCTATTGCATTTTTACGTTTATAAACATTATACCATCTATTGTCACGTATAATAAATACTGCAGAGGCAATTTTTCAGTATTTTTCGGAGCCATCATATAGGCAGGCCAATAGTTTTTCGATTTTAATGGGCCAGTTAATAATTAAAATAGGTATATCTATATAATTGCAGGTACGTAAATCTAGACACGCGGTAGCGTGTCAAGCCAAGTTCTAGCTAACAGAACTGGCGAGCAGCACCGTGTGTAATATTACACGAACCATTTGGAGCCACTTTTGACCCCCTCATAACTCAAAAACTATTCCACATAAACATGTCAAATTTGGCTCATATATTGAGACTAACGAG